AGGCATGGCAGTAAGCTGCAGCCATAGTAACCGTAGCAGGAAGCTAAGAGCTCACTTCAAAAGCAAGCTGGAAGCAGGCAGAGGAAACTGGGATTGGCCCAATGCTGCTGCACCGCCTGAACCTTTGCAAACACAGAGAATCAGTGGGAGAACATTTCGTTCAAACTGCCACATCTTGCCTTGCAAGCATGAGGACCAGAGTTCAAATCTGCAGAACCCATGTAAGCAGCCAGCATACTCGTGCGTATGCCTGTAACCACAGCACTGTGGGGGCTAGAGCCAAGAGAGAAGTATCACTGGGGCTTGTTGTATGCCACTGCCACTGTAGGTATGGGTTCAGTGAGAGACCCTTTATCAGGGGAATATGGTAGAAAGGATAGAGCAAGATGAGTCCTCCCCTGGCCTCCACACACATGGGCGTATCCCTCACCCCAGTACAGACACTGGTACTGCAACTAAAACATGAGAAATCTTCGATACCAAATATAGAGATATTTTAAGAATGTTTAACCAGATTTTGTTTGTTAGATATTCATTCATTCATTCTCTTTCTTTTCTTTTCTTTCTTTTTTTTTTTTTTTTTTTTTGTTTCGATACAGGGTTTCTCTGTGTAGCCCTGGCTGTCCTGGAACTTACTCTGTAGACCAGGCCGGCCCCCTGAGCTCAGAAATCCACCTGCCTCTGCCTCCCAAGTGCTGGGATTAAAGGCGTGTGCCATCACTGCCTGGTTACATATTCACTTATAATATGATAGAAATTTAGTTTTTACATAGGTCTGAAAAAGCTCTTTCAAGCAACATAATCAGATAAGTTAAAAAACAATAATAACCATTCACTGGGCAGAATTTTTTTCTTTTTTAATAATACACAAGATACTAGTGTCTCATAAAATAATGTTAAGATATAGATGATCTTAAATTTGATAAGATATAGATGATCTTCAAATACATATCTCTGTAAAATTGAGTCTCAGGAGTGGGGCTTCCATGATAAAGTCCTTCACAGAGAAGTTGTCTTCACAGAGAGTGTGTCAGTTACACACAGACTGATGGAAAATGAATGCCTGTTTAGGAAAACCTTTTCACCAGCACCATCTGTGTTGGAGGCCAGTAAACAAACAACACGTTCATTTGGTCCAAGGGATAAACCCAGAACCATCTAGGCAGTTGCCCTCTACAGCTAAGCTACCTTCCAGCCTCTCTCTTGATTTTGATTTGGAACTCTGATGTTGTTTACAGGCCTGTCAGATGTCCCTGTGAGTCCCTGTCTGTTTTTTCCCATCTCTGTGCCGTCTCCTTACCATCAGTGAGAGTATATCAATCCTCTGTGTGCCTGTGACCCAACAATGCACTTACTGACTTACGAGAGGAAAGACTTATTTTGGTTTATGGTTTCAGAAGCCTCTGTTCCTCATGGTGGAGAGGGCATGGTGGAACAGTGTCCACTGTTGGGGGGGCGGGGAGCTGTGGTGGCCTCTGCAGCAGCCGGAAGGCAGGGCCAGGCCGTAGCTTACACAGACCCACCCCTGTGGCCTACTTCAGCCAGTCAGGTGTGTACCTCATTAATCTTTTCAAAGAAATTTAGCAGTGATTATTTTCCGCGTATTAAGTGTGCCAAGCTGGTTTCAGCTGGTTCTACTTTGTCCCGTGGTTCCCTCAATCTTCCTATTCATGATGTTTCTCTGTGCATTATTTTTTTTATATCCTTTAACAACATTTCTAAAACTTTATTTTCCCCTCCTTCTCCTCTTCCTTTTTCTCCTTTTCCTCCTCTTCTTCCACTCCCCCACCCCCACCATTCTTTTTCTTTTCTTTGTTTTCTCAAGACAGTGTTTCTCTGTGTACCTCTTGCTCTCCTGGAATTTGCTTTGTTGAGCAGGCTGACCTTGAACTTAGAGTGCTGGGATTAAAGATGTGTGCCTGCCACCACGTCGGCTGGTGGTTTGATGTTTCTATTAGGTTTTTCTTACTTGGCGTTGGTTGCGATGTTATCGCCCCTCAGTTGGGTCTTTTTGGTTTTGTATTTTGTTACTTTGTATTAGTTTCCTGTTCTTGGTTTGATAAATCACTGGAAACCTGGTGACCTAAAAACAGTATAGTTGACTGTCACATAGCTGTGGAAGTAAGACACTTGAAATCCGTTTCACTGGGCTGCAGCCAGAATGTGAACAGACCCATGTGCCTTTAAGGGACCCAAGGGAGGCTCCGTTTCCTTACTCTTAGTCTTCAGAGTCCAAGGATGTCTTCTCTCCTTAGCGTTGGCCCCACCTTCCATTGGTTTACTCTGTCCTTACAGCATTATGCCTGCCACAGGGTCTCCCTGTGCAGTCCACTCTGGCCTGCTGCTATCCACCGCCTCACTCAGTACCAGGATGCCAGGTGCCTGCCCCATGCCCCTCCTCCTCTCCTTTTCATCTTCCCCCTTTTCCTCTGCCTTTTCTTCCTCTCTGTGTGATGTATGTGTGTTTGTGTGTGCGTGTGCATACTCATGCATGTGGAGGCTCGAGCCCCTCAGTCACTCTCCACCTTATTTTTGAGACAGAGTCTCTCACTGAACCTGGAGCTCTCCGATTCAGCTAGACAGGCAGGATGAGTGGCAGGGATCCACCCATCTCTTGACCTCGACAACCAACCTGGTGGTGCTGTGGTTCTAGACGCATTCACCTGGCTTTACGTGGGTGCTGGGGATCCAAACACAGGCTCTCGGTTTTTCACAGGAGCGTTCTCTGCCTGCCTCCCACTCCCAGGTTCACCTTTCTTTAACATTAATCCTATCAGCCGATTTCTAAAGATCCTTGTTATTCCGCTGAGCCTGGCAGATAATCCAGGCTAATCTCTCTGTGTCTGTCATCCCACCAAGACCTTGTAGGTCTGGACAGCCAGCAGTCCCGGGATCTGGGATCTGACATCTATAGGCCTCTATCCAGACAATCATGCTTTGCCTTGTAGACAGAAAGAAAACGACTTACCTTTGTGTTTCGTCTCTCTGGACACACTTTGTTATTTTGTCTTGTTTTTCACATTGTCTTTGGGCAGTTTGGTATTTGGTTCATTCTGAGAGTTCCTGGCAGTTACGACCCTTTCCCGATTTCGTCTCGGTATTTGTACCTCATTGTTTCTGGGCTAGAATATCCTGACTAATAGACAAATAATAGCTGTGAGACCAGACAGACATCCTTGTATTGTTGGTAACTTTATAAGAAATTGCTTAATTATTTTACCATTGAGTGTGGTAAATTCTAATAAACATGATTAAACTAAAGGGCTTCTAAGAAGTTGAGTCCTTGTGAACCAGGATTTTAAGTCAGGAGTATATTTATGAATATGAAAGTAACTGTGTGGTCTCTTATCTACTAATAGCTTCTCTAATAATGATTGTGTATTCTGGGAATAAATTTTTCTTGGTCATGATGGTTTGTTTTGTAAAACTACTTCTCACTTCTGTTTGCTGATATATACATAAAATTTTACATAAAAAAAACTCTGGGTGTGATGGCAAACACCTGTAATCCCAGCACTTAGAAGGCAAAAGCAGGTGGATCTCTATGAGTTTTGAGTCTAGCCTGGTCTAGTCACAGAGACCCGATCTTAGAAATATCAAAATAAATAAAATAAATTGACTTAAGATTTTTATGTATGAGTGTTTTGCCTGAATGTATGTGTGTGTACCATCCGTGTACAAGGACATTAGAAGAGGGTATTGGATTCCCTAGGGTAGGGTTTACAGATGCTTGTGAGCCACTGTGTGTGGATGCTGGGAACTGAACCTAGGAACTCTGCAGGAGCACCAACTGCTCTTAACTCCGGAGCCATCTCTCCAGGCCCTGTTTGCTGTTTTTTTCTTCTGTGTGTACTTTAGCAAGTGAAGTTGGCATAGATGGTTTAGTGTCTGGCTTGACATCCTCTGTACAGCTTAGGCTTTGTGAATCAACACTGAGAGCTGGATAGTACTGTTCGGACTGGCATTATTGACTGGGGGTGTAACTAGGTGGTGAGATGTGTGCTGACACATGTGAGCCCAGATTGAACCCTAGTACCACGAAAAACAAAACAAGCAGAACATTAGTCATAGCATTAAATATCACTTGCAGTTTGAAGTATCCAGAGACCTTGGTCTCTTGGGCCAGTGCTTCCAGTCTCTACTGCCCTCTTCCGCTTACCTGGGAGTGGGGTTGTAGCCCTCAAACCCAAGGTTCTTCCCTACCTGCTCTGTCTCGCAGCATCTGAAGTGAGCTTGTGGCTTGTGAAGCAGGCTTTCTCATTGTAAACATGCTCAGCCCACACAGGAGAGCCACATCTACGAACGCAGCTCCATTCACAGGAAGCTGTGAGGCCTTTCTTTGGGGGTGTCTTTTAATCTTTAATCACTGCAGTGTTCCACTAAAGCTGCCTAGCATTCCAGCTATGTTATTTCCTGTCCAGGGACAAGCATCACTGAAGTCACCGCTGGTATCAGGGTTTGCAGTAAGTAAAGTGGTCAGGTAGCTGTGCCTCTGGAACAAATCCTACGTGGCTGTGCCTTTGGATCGATGACCATGAAACTGGGCAGATTTTGAGAACATGATATGGAAATGCAAGTCAGGAGAAGGCTGTTTTACCACAGAAGGCTGCTTGCAATGGTTTTCAGTTCCTCAGAGTGACTCTTCCCTCAGTTCAGAATTTCAAATGGATACTTATTTTGTCCAAATGATCTTCAAAGCCCAGGGCAATGAGTTCTAACTAAAACCTCGTAAACCAAGGAGTTGTCAGTGTCTAACCTAAACATTTTAAGAAGGTTCTGACTGGGCATCTCGGGTTCTTAAATCCTCATCAGGACTCATTTACTTGAACGGGAACATGGTGTTTCTTGAAAACTGTTGCCTCTGACTTCTGAATCAAAATTCTGCTGAATTCACACTATGTAAATGCTCTTCCTAAGAAACTATTTCAATGGAAAGTTAGTGGTTTTGTGTTTTTTTTTTTCATAAAGTGTAAATTTGGTTCTTTCTTTGCCCTCCGCAGCAGAACAGACCGTCACTAATATTTCAGTATATAATGACACCTGCCTGAGATGGAACAGCCTGAAGACAGCCGATGTAGTAGAGATGTACTTAGTAAGTTTCTAAAATTCACCTTACTTGTAGATATGTGCACTCCGTGGAAGATTTAAAACATCTAGGGGCTGGAGAGGTGGTTCAGTTGTTATGAGATGGCTCAGCTGCTTCTTCAGAGGACTCAGGTTCAATTCCCAGCACCCTCCTGGCAGATCCCCACCATCCGTAACTCCATTTCCAGGAAATTCAATGCCCTTTTCTGACCTCTGTGGGCACCATAAACATACCATGTACACATGCACATACATACATGCAGGCAAAACACTTGTACATACAGAGTAAAATAAATCTAAATTTAAAAAAAAATACAAGACTAAAAAATACGTTTGTAGCTGCTGTTGGCAACTGTATCATGATGACTGGCTAAGAGGCAGAGAGGCAGACACTTCCACTCCTTGCCTGAGGACAGACTCCTTGGGAGTGTTAAGAAAGTATGGAAGTTTCTAGAGTTTGTATCTTGGTGCAGAGTCAATACTCAGGCAGTCTCTGGTAGGGGGTGCAGTGACCTTTGGTCACACTGGTATCTGTGCAGAGACCAGGCTTTGAGTGTGTTGCCCGGACAGTCACAGGGAGTCTGTGAAGATTGATGACCACTGAAGGAAGGGTGATCATGGAAAGAGAGGGGACTTCTCTTCAGTTATTGGATGTTACAAAAAGGAGTACCCTAGTCAGTGGGGCCTGGTTCAGATTCTGAAATTTCTCTTTAGGAGAACGTCCCTTGCTCCTGCAGTTTTGCCAGCCGACTTCTATACTGTAAATGTGAAGATAAAAGAGCAAGCTTCCTCTGCAGGGCCTCTGAGTGTTGCTCTTCTGTCTTATCTTTAGGCTGGCCTTGGGCTTTCTATGTGGCCAGCATGGCATAAAACACTCAGACCCAGAGGGGACGGCTCAGAGCTTAAGAATGTCTGCTGCTCTTGCCTAGGACCAGAGCCTGGTTCCCAGCCCGCTCACCTCTGACCCAGCAGCTCACCCTGGCCTGTAATTTTCCCTCTAGGGGATTCAATGTCCTCTTTTGGCCTCTATGGACACCTGCACATACACGCTCCCCCACACACACATAAATAAAATATAAAAATAAAGAGATCAAGATGCCCGGGGCTGAGATTATAGCTATGTAATGATAAGTTTGTGTGTATTTTATTCTGAAATATATGTATTATCCTCATGATATTGTAATCACCATAGATACAAAACATGTATAATGTTGAAATTTTACTATTAGCTTATTTGTTGCATTTACTTCTTGAAAATAACTTTATAGGAGGGGGGGGGTGAAGGGAGGAGGGGAAGAGAACTCCTGGAAAAAGCGTAGGTCTCAAGGCGTTCAGAATGTTTCAAGCCAGTGTTTTACCCCATGAGCTTTTCATCTTTCAGTTCCACATTTGGGGCCAGAGATGGTATCAGAAGGCATTTGTTCAGGAAATGGTCTTCAATACCACCAGCAGCAGCCAGGACCCTGAGATATGTCTGGATCTGCATCGAGGCACCCGCTATAATGTTAGCCTCCAGGCTTTGTCTTCAGCTCTTCCTGTGGTCATCTACCTGACAACCCAGATAACAGGTAAATCTTGAATAACAGCATTTGATTAATAGCATTACCACAGAGCTGCTGATAGGCCCCGATAAGGAATACTTGGTGCTTTCTGTCGTGGTAAATGAAACTTGCGAGAGAAAGGGAGAAAACGTGGAATTGGAGAGAGAGGCTGGCAACTGTCCAGCAGTGTTTCGCTATCTGAAAGAAAATGTTGATTAAATTTAAATAGTGTAAACCTGTGAGTTAAATCCCTTCTGGGTGTTTGAACTATTTAAAGTGTTCCAGCCAGAAATTGTGTTTCATGCCTGTAATCATAGCATTTGGGAGGTGAAGACAAGATCAGAAGGAGTTCATAGCAAGTTTGAGGTCAGCCTGGGCCAAATCCCAGATAAATCAAACAGCAGCAGCAGCAGCAGCAGCAGCAGCAGCAGCAGCAGCAAGCTACAGTAACAACAAACAGGTCTAAAGTGTTTCATACCTAAAAAAGAGTTTTCTCATTACTGTTCTCTAGTAACACATTAAACTAACCTTCTAGGGAGAGTAAATGGCTCAGCGGGCAAATTGCTTGCTGTACAAGCAAGGGTTGAGGACCTGTGGTTTGATACTTGGCACCCACTTAAAAAGACGTGTAACTCAGTGTTGGGGTCAGAGACGGGCAGACTCCAAGGCTTGCTGGTCAGATGGCTCCCTGAATCGGTGAGCTCCAGGTTCAGTGAAAATCCTTGTCTCAAGAATAAGATGGCCATGCTGGGAGATGCTTGTACCTAAGCCTGTGAGTGAGTTTTATTCCTGGAGCCCATGTGATAGAAGGACAGAACCTATCCCAACAGTTGTCCTTTGACTTGCACACAAGTGCTGCAATGTGTGCACACATACGCATACACTCACACGCAGAGAATGTAGCAATAGTTTGGCCTTCTGGTGCAGCTGCCTTTAAGTGTAGGTCAGTACCAGGAGCATCCTACGCAGTCTCTAGACCACCGTGTGAATTTGATTTCCGCCATCTTTCTCTGCGGCCTTCAAGCCTTTGCGCTCTGGTCCCTGACCTCCAGCCCACGCATACCTTCTTGCTCTTCGTCTCCATGAGAAAGGAGTGTCACTTCTCCTCATCTTCCATGTCTACCTTCTTTCTCTCCTTCCCTTCCCATGTATCCCTGCTCCTGTCTAAGGCTGCCATCCTCTCAAGTGTGTGCCGGATCCCAGCCCTCCTTGCCAGCTTCTACCCAGTGCAGAGTCAGCCCTAGCACTGCAGAGCCCATTGCAATATCTCATTTAACAATGAGCCCATGTCCCCTCCAGCTGCCTGGCCTTCTTCAGCCCCCCATTATATAGAAACTCCCTGAAAGACATGGCTGCCCATGTCTTCACACCCTTTTCGTTTTCTCCTAAGCATTTCATTGGTCTCACCGTTACACAGAAGTTACACATGTCTCTGCAGCACTTGACATCCTTCTGCAAACTCTTTCCTTTTCGGGGTGGTTCCTTCTGTCTTCCTGGCTGGACTTCTCGGTGTTTTTTGACTGGCTCAACTATTTCTATGGCTCCTTCCTCAGCCTCCCTCTCTTCCTTTGCATTTCTTTCTGCCTAGGGGATATCTATGACCCTCATGGACTCTATAACTCTGTAACACTCTATAACTGATACCTACTTAGTACTGACAGTCTCCAAATCTGTACCTCTAAGCCTAACCTCTTTATCCGCCTGCCTTCTAAACATACACCATCGAGCAAACTAGACAAACGAATTTGACACTTTGCACCTCTTTTCTTACTTACAACTCTATGAAAATGATGTCGGCTTTCATAACTCCGTTTCTGGAGTTCTCCTAGTTAGCTGGTCAAGCCAAGAGTCTTAGTCACCTCTATCTGACTCCTAAATTTCTAATCAGTTAACTCTGTTGATTTCAATCACTTATTCCTGTCTTTGTCTTTAACACTACAGACCTGATCCTAGCAGGAAGTGCTTGCTTAGATCCCTGAAGTAGCTTTCTGTTTGTTTGTTTGTTTGTTTGTTGCTGTGGTTTATTTCATAACAGGGTTTCACTCTACATCCTTGGGTTGGCCTCATACTTTCTCTGTAACCCAGGTTGCCTTCATTTGAGTGGTCCTCCTGCCTCAGCCTCCCAAGTGTTGGGGTTACAGGCACGCACCACCATACCTGGCTCTCAGAGCTGTTTCCTGTTTTCCAACCTGGCTATCACTGTCCACCTCAACTGTAACCTTAGTTTTCACTATACCATTAAAGGGTCACTCAGCAGCTACAGCGTCTTCTAAAGAATATGAACATGACAGTGCTCCCTCAAAGGTCTCCAGTGAGTTCAAAATCTAGCCGAGAGTCCAAATACATAGCATAGAGCATGTGATCCAACCTGGACCACCCTCTTTAACTCACCTCCTCCTCGTCTTTTCTTTCACCAGGTACCAGCTGTCTCTCCCTTGGCTTCTTGATCTTTCTTAAATGGGTCAGACTCGTTCCCACTGCAGGCTTTTCCGTTTGCTGTTGCCTCGTTCTGGGACAACCTCTGTGGTTTCCTATGAGCATTTGGGAGTGTGATTGTTACACTTTGTCTCACTCTGATCCCTGTTACTACAACCAACCACAGATTGACAAAGAATGGTTTTTGGATGTTGGGAAGCCTGTGGACTAGGGGACAGCATTGGGTTAGCATTTTCCTGCTCCGCCATGACCTAACAGAGGGTATCACATGGTAGACAGAGCAAGTGTAACCAGACAGCTGGGTTTTATTCAGACCAATTCCCCTGATAACCCATGAATGAATTAACCTATGATAAGGACAAGGTCCTCATGACAGTGTCACCTCCCAAAAGTCCTGCTTCTCAAATACCCATAATGTATGGTTTTGGAATAGCTTCTGGCACATGCTATCTGGGGAACATGTTTAAACCATAACACCCTTAGGGGGGCTTCGCCTGACCATACTTTCATAAACATCCTCTCACTCTCTACCCTATTATTTTCTTTTAAAGATTTATTTACTTATATAAATGGGTGTTTTGTCTGCATGTACATCTGCACCCCAGAAAAGGACATCAGATCCCATGACACTCTAGTTACAAATGGTTGTGAGCCGCCGTGTGGTTGCTGGGAATTGAACTCAGGACCTCTGGAAGAGCAGCCAGTGCTCTTAACCGCTGAGCCATCTCTCCAGCCCCTAACCTACTCCTCTCTGTCACTCACCCTCCTTGAATTTCTTCACACAACTTGGATTTTGGATTTTAAAAATTGTTTATTATCTTTCTTCCTCTGTAAAAATAGGAACTCTTGAAAGCATTTTTCCTTTTGTCTGTTTCTCTATTGAATCCCAAAACAAATGCTAATGACACTTAGCACAATAAATCCATGTTTCTTAATAATAGCCAGGGATTATTTGATGCCGAAGAGATATGTTTTTGTATTAAGAGGAATTCTGAATACTTTGTGCCAGGGACAGGTGCTATCCAATCCAATGCTTATGAAGCAGAGTGACTCTCCAGTCTCTTATTCTTTGGTCCTCGTCATACTTGGGTGGGTTTTACCGCTTTAAAAACATATTTATTACATTTTATTACTTTTATTTTCTGTGTGTGGGGCAGGAGAAGGGTTAGCTATTGGATATATGTATAAGTCAGACTTATAAGACAACTTATGATAGGCATTGTATCTTTAGTTCCTGAGTCTTACCTTGTTTTGAGGCTAAACACAGCCCCAAGTCACTCAAGTGTTCCGTGTCTGTGCTCATGGCCACCAGGGGACACTGTTGAGCTATTCACGTTCACTGGGACAGTGACGCGCAATGAGATTCTGGCTGCTATTGGAACTTGCTGTAGAGCAGTGGTTCTCAGCCTTCCTAATGCTGCCACCCTTTAACACAGCTCCTCATGATGTGGGGACCTCCAACCATAAAATTATTTCATCTATACTTTATAACTGTAATTTTGCTACTGTTATGAATTGTAAAAATCTGATATGCAGGATATCTGATACGTGACCACCAAAGGGGTTGAGACCTGCAGATTGAGATCCTCTGCCTTAGAGACTTGGGAGGTTTTTGTTGTTTGTTTGTTTGTTTTGTTTTTCAAAGCATGAAAATTCACATTGGTGAGACTTTATTAAAGAGTTGAGAGAGGAAAAACCCTTTCATCCCATAAAAGTAAGAGAACCGAGAACCTGGTATGTTGATGTGAGAATACCCCAGATGTTTGTGGCATTGTTTCAGTAAAAAGGGGGAACTTTTGAATGTTACCAGAAATGTTAGTTTAAGGATTTGGATCTGGAAAACACAGCGGATGCTTTCCCAGAAGAAAAGCGGATGGAATTTCCCTTCTTTGAGCCTCCCATTAAATTAAATCTTACTGATGGGAACGGGATGAAAACAGGAGCTTTAAATATATTTGCTGACCTCAGAGGAGATGGAGAGGAGTGGAGAGGGACAGAGGTATGCATTTTAGAAAGCAGAAGAGGGTGCTGGTTGGAGGCTGGGGAGTAGAGAGAAGCTTGTGGCTCATGTGTGGCCCAAGGCGGCCCATTGAACCGAGTTCTTTAGAACAGGCTCATTCACGCCCCTCCTTAGGGCAGGAAGGAGAACAAATAAGCATTTGCTGTCTTTGATGTAGACCCCAAAGGCAGAAGAAGAGCTCTCACATCGACTGTACTGTTTTCTCGTTGAGTCTAAAAGCTTATGAACAAATTTTCTTTTCATAGGAACAACACAGGAAGTCAGAGAAAGCTAAAGTGGTGGGGTGGATGGTGGGGTGGGGGTGGATGGTGGGGTGGGGTAGATGCTGGGGTGGATGCTGGAGTGGGGTGGATGCTGGGGTGGGGTAGATGCTGGGGTGGATGCTGGGTTGGATGCTAGGGTGGGGTAGAGAACAGAAATAAGTGTGCGTGTGAATGTGATGATAAAGTCCACCAGTTGTTCCCCAGGCCTTGGCTATTGTTTGAAGTCAGTCGTTTCTTGTGGAACCAAGAATGCTAGAGGAGAAAGAGTGAAAGGATGGAATTTCTATATTTGACTTCAGTACCAATGC